AGAGAGAAAGGAAGAATGAGAAAATGGTGAGATTCAGTACAGCGTCGGTAAGATGAGGATAATGTGTGCATACATCTGCGCCACTGACATAGGTTCTGAGCCACGTGATCACCTAGAGTCTCCAACTACTGGTTCCTCTTGTCCTGTGGACCCCAACCGGCTAGTCTGCATCGCCCCACATGGCTCAGACCAACAGCCAGAGACTTCATACCTTGATGCCATGTTTTAGTTTGGCCGAGAGCCTCGGGCCTTTTTCCAGCCTGGACCTACTTCGGCAAACATTGACGAGGTAATCGGCGACTAGGCATACGTAACACATGTCCCAACCATCCTAGTTGATGAAGGTTCATAACCTCGTCAACTGATTTACCTCTTCTCCCTAAAACTCTACACCTGACTTCTGCGTTATTTACGTGGTGACACCACGGAATACGGTTTATACTACGAAGGCAACGGTGGTCAAACACTTGAAGCCTTCTCATGTCTTCCACTTTCAATGGCTATGTTTCATAGCCATACAGTAGAACAGTGCAGACTGCTGTGCAGTACACGCGATCCTTAATAGACAATCGGATATCACGGCGGTGCCATAGGTGGCGTAAGTTGGCGAAAGCCAACCGAGCCTTTTGTAGCTGTGCAGAGATTTCATAGGCCACTGAGCCACCGGGGCTGATCCTACTTCCCAGGTAATTGAAGTGGTCGGCACACTCAATCACTATACTCTCTATTATTAGTCGTGGCACTGTTGAAGACCAATCCTGGAGCAACAATTTGCATTTCGGTGGTAAGAAACCCATCCCAAACATTCTCAAATTGCCACTCAAAGTGTTCAGAAGACTCTGCATCTTGTCAGCGTCTTCACCTAAAAGGACTATGTCATCTGCGTATTCTAGGTCTAACGAAAATCCTCCTGCGATTAGGTCAACCTCTGTGCAATCAGGTGACGAGAGGGAGACCTCCACAAGAATATCTATGATAAAATTGAATAAGAATGGAGATAGTGGGCACCCTTGACGGACACCACTCGGTGAGCATAAGTTCCCCGTATATCTCGCCATAGGCTCTAACACGCCCACAAGTGTTCGAGTAGAGAGCCCTCAATAAGGTGATGTACTTACCCGGCACGCCTTTCAGTGAGAGACGCTGCCATAAGACTTCTCGATCAACGGAGTCGAATGCCGCCTTCAAGTCGAGAAATACAGCCAGTGTCAGTGCAGAGTGAATATTTGGTCGATACACCCGCGGCCGGGTCTAAATCTTGCCTGGGTTTCTCAGGGTTGTTGTTCCCGAGCTCCACTCAGGCGTCGAAGAATTATAGAATCTGGAATCTTTGACACTATGTTCGTCAGACTGGTTCCTCTGTGGTTATCACAAGAGGACTTCTCGCCTTTCTTGAAGACTGGAATAATCAGTGATTTAGATCAGTCAGAGGGGATCGTATTTGGTTCCCATAAACTAGCTACCACTTCCGTTAACTTGACTAAAAGCAACTTACCACCATCCTTGTATACCTCAGCAGGTAGTCAGTCAGGTCCTGCTGCCGTTCCTCGTTTCAAGTTACCTACAGCTTTCTTGACTTTGCTAGTGTTGGGGGCCAACGTCAATGTTCCATTCAGGATCCGACTGGACAGTGGGCGACGCAAGCTGGCTGGAGGCCAGATAGGCTTCTCGCTGACCAACGACGGTCTGGTCTGGCTCCAATGCTGGATGACCTATTGACGACTAGTGTGTATGGTAGCAACAAGAATCTTTCCCCTTCCTTAGCTGAGCTCAGGGTCACCCTCATCAGCGGAGGCTTTCCCTGAGGTGAGTAGTTGTCTTTGTAGAGCCCACAAAGCTTTGCTTCTAAACTGTCCAGTCCCAATATGGCGCATACGGTTTCCCATTGCTGTTTGTCAAAAGATTCTCTGTCCTCAAGAAGGCCATCATGCCACACGGCGGCGTGAAATAGGAGGATGGAGTTCGATCTGTCACCAACTCTGTTTTTGTGTACTGTGGGTGGTTTTTTATGAGAAGGGTGCACCTTTTTTCCACTGTCACCCATTCTTCCTGATGTACAGTGGGGTTAGCCGTTAGAGTGACTTCAGGGTTAGGGACCAATGTAGTTGGTCGCGTGCCTGGTCGTCGTTTGGGTCTTTTTGGACGATCCACCGGTGTGATGTCTTTTGCGACCTCTCTTAGCGAGCCTGTAGAAAAGAGTGGCCTTATATGGCGTTGTGGGCAGATGTACCGGAACCACGTGCATGGGTAGCGCGCCATGAAGGTGTAATATTGGTCTGGTATGTCCTCATCTCACTGACTGTGCACCCACTTATTGCAGATGTTACACTCAAAGGCGGCATCCCTTTTGGCTACTGTGAGACCACACGTATGACAGTCGTCAGTCCGACTAGAAGGTTTAATAACCGACTTTCCTTCTCTTCTGTCTCTCAGTGATAGCCTTTACAGGTAGGGTCTGGGCTGGTGGTACCAGGAAGACATGCTCTTCGATGAACTACAGTACAAGGGTTCAGAGGGACAGGAATTCGACTTTTCCCAGGTGGTTATTGCAACTGTCCTCCTGAGGTCGACCCATGATCTTTTGCGGCGGCATTAAGCCTCTTGCCTCCGGCCCTAGATAATACCAAGGATGGGGAGGTTTGTAGCTGAGGTGAGGCTTTACCTGAGATGTTCCTGATACCAGATTTGGTTAGGACTCGGTTATTACTCATTTCCACAGGTGATTAGGAGGGGATATAAATGAGATAGACACAGATGGTTGTATCAAGTGAAACGCGGAAGGGCAATGATAGATGAAGTAAGTTGTCAACCTTCCTAGGATTGTCCAGTTATATGACACGAAAGAATGCCCAAAGCTTCCCACAGGTCCAAGGTGTATGATCGAATAAGATAAGTAGCGCTGCAGTTGCAGCAACCTGAGTTATAGCAGTTGATCGAGACAGTTAGACCCACCACACAGTTGTCCGTTTGGAGAGTGGTGGTACTGACCGACTGAGGACTGTACGTTCTGTAGCAAAACGTTCTTCCAGTAAGACTGTAACTTTCGTAGAGGAAATATCCGACTGGGGAGGCTTATACATGGTTACTTTCGAGTAGAATGCAGACGCGACAAAACACTTATGTATTCAAGCAGGGCCCAGTTTCCTTAATAAGTCTAAAGTTTAACTGTTTACTATTACCAATAGCCGTCACCGTTTCCATCTCTTTCGCCTTCGCTGCCCACCATTGTTCGCGGTCGTTGCGTAGACTTTTTCTCAATCTACTTTTAAGTTGCGCTCGCTCTTCATTGTTCTCAGGGCCTGCAGGGATGCATTCACGTGTGTCCATTAGTTCGGAGGAAGCTGCTGATATCCACTGAATCTTTTTAGCCACCATTCCAGAGTCGGCTACGGTCTTCAAAGCTGCTTTTACAACAGACTGGAGATGGCACCAAGCTTCTTCTGAATGAGTGATAGTCTTTTGTTCCGATAACTGCCTAACCAACTTCTCACTGAACACGGCTTTGATGTTATCGTTGTCCAGAAGCGCTCGTAGTCCATTGAGACGCAGGCATATACGCGTTCGGACCAACACGTGGTCGCTATCCAAACACGTACTCCAGAAGGAGTGGCAGTCTCTCACCGACCCTCTCCAGAGATGACTTAACGTGGTCTATCTGTCCATCGCTGGGTTGAGCTCGGTAGACGCCACGTTAGACAGTGTCTTTATGTCTGAAATTTGTGCTAGCTAAAAATAGGCGGTTATCTGAGCACAGTGGTAGGAGACGATCACCGCTATCTGTAGGTACAGCCGGGACTCCGGAAGTGCCTTTCTGCCTCACTCAGTCTACCCACTTGTGCATTGATGTCACTTGCAACAACCACCATGTCCGAATGTTTGCCTTTCGAGAGGCTAGACAGTTTACGATAGAACTTGTCCTTCACTTCGTCCGAACTACAGTTAGTGGGTGCGTAAGCAGAGATTACAAAGAGACAACGGCGAGTTTCACTATTCCCTTTAGTTCTCGCTGTGCCGTCCAGTCAGATAGCGCAGAGACGACTATCAACTGGGATACAGTCTGGTAGTGAGCCTTCTGCCCTAGTGCTATGCGGATTTACCAGATTGGGCGGGGGAGGTCAGGTGAATAACCGCACTTGAGTCCTGTATAGATGTCTCACAAACAGCACGCATTCATGACTCAAATTGCTAGGCTTTTCCAACGAAACCTGTTCACCAGTTTGACGAAGGGTGCGGGCATTTAAGTCTACAATATGTAATTTGGAGCGTGGTTTAAGGAGACCAAGAATGCTGTTCTGTGGACTCAGATCGTTGTCGAAGACTGCTGAGCTAGATATTGAAGGTGATGTAGTGTCGTTAGTTGAGAGACATGAAGGAACATTAGAAAATATTGATGGAGGAGGTGGATAGCAGTCTGAGAAAACTTGAGTGCTGATCGAGTTGTGAGGGTGGTTGACACTTACCGGCTGCCCACACCGTCAAACTAACAAAAAGATGTGATGATCGTCGCATACGACGATCATTAGAAGCCTTTTTATGCAGATACTTCACCGGTCCACGAGATTGCTCACAGATGTTCTTATATATCCATTTGAGGTCACTCAGATTGATATGCGTGGACTAATCAACGATGTAACTTCACATGCAAACATCTCAAAGCCATTCTAGCAACTAGTAAAATAATCCGTCTCTGTTTTATCAAAGACGCTCCAGCAGCCAAAGTATGGGAGCTTGCTTATTGGATTATTAGCTACCAAGTTGTCATTCAGTCAGGTAAAATGCACATTCTGAGTACTTAGCTGTTAGTGGGCTCACTATTCAGGTTGTGGGTAGTTTAGTTAAATTACCTAGAATGTGTCTGGCTTGTCAAGGTCATTTGTGCCATCGTTGATTTAGGTTGGTATTATAAACTTTATCGAATTCACATGTCTTCAGATGATTCAATGTCCTTTCTCAACACGGAAATATGAAAATAAGAACAAGAATCGCACAGGTCTACTCACCGTTAATGTTCCGCATTTTGCCGCTCTTGGAATGCATAAGCGTGAAATCTTGAACAATTTCATCTGCCAAACCTTCGAGCTTTTTCAGTTCTACTTCAATTGGTTGCAGTTTTTCTGCTTTTGCAAGCTACAGACTATGAACTGAAGTCAACAACAAACCATGTCAAAATCTTTGGCTGCTGTGCCATGCTTTATGTTAAGAAAAACCTCGTGATCGTTTTCATCGTTGCCTAGTTTTGATTACTAAAAAGAGAGAAACTACTTGGTTGGCTTTCAAAACACACTTCAAATATTTCGAAGTTTTCAGTAGTGAATGCAAACTTCCCGTCTCTGATATTCTCTCTTTGATACAGAATGTGTTTTTTCGCATCACGAACTTTGATGTGGATCACTTGGTTGTTCGAGGAACTGACTTCAAACTCTCCATGTACAATTATGTCTTTATGAGCCTCGTCCTGTATGCATTTAGTTATACCATTTCTGAGTTTAAATCTTAATCCTTGAATTATCGACACATGATATAACAACACGCTAATAAGCAAAACCCCTGCTTGGAACTTCATCTAGCCTTCGACGTCAAAACGTGTACACGTTTTACCGCCTTCACCAACTAATAACCTCACCAGC